TAAAGAAACACAACTGACATTAGTTAACTTAACCTGTATAAATAACACAGTTGATTGATTCTATAAAAAACCCACTACTGAAAACTTAAAGAAACACAACTGACATTAGTTAACTTAATCTGTATGAATAACACAGTTGATTGATTCTATAAAAACCCCACTACTGTCACCGGTGGAGTTAATTTGTATTAAAACAACTCAGTTTCTATAAAAATGTTCAGGGGAACCACAGTGATTGGAGAATAACTGAAATCTTCATCACAATAAATCACTTCCATCTCACCAGTTTCCCTAGTGCAGCTTTGATGTCCTTGTTTCTCATGCTGTAGATGACCGGATTCATCATTGGTGGGATCATAGAATAGAGAACAGACAGCATGAGGTCCAGAGCTGATGGGGACCCAGATGTGGGCTTCAAATAGGCAATCATCCCAGTGCTACCCAGCAAGGCAACAACAGTGAGGTGGGGAAGACAGGTGGAAACTGTTTTATGCCAGCCCTGCTCAGAGGGGATTCTCAGTACAGTAGTGAATATCTGAATATAAGACACAAATATAAACACAATGCAGCCAGCACTTAAACATGCACCAAAGATAAAGACCTGAATTTCACTAGTAAACACCTCTGAGCAAGAGATCCTAAGGAGCTGGGGGACTTCACAGAAGAACTGATTGACGATGTTGGAGTGGCAGAAGGGCAGCCTAAAGGTGTTCCCTGTGTGCAGGGCAGAGTACAGAAGAGTTGTGCTCCAGGCTGCGGATACCATTTGCAGACAAGATCTCCTGTTCATCACTGTCGCATAGTGCAGTGGTTTGCAGATGGCGATGTATTGCCTTTTCCAGTCCTCCGGGACTTGGCCCGTGCGCCATGAGCATTCAAATATTCATGTATGCTATTGCGCAGTGGGGTTGGAAACGATCCATGCGCTGTCAGGACTCTGTAGTCCTGGCAGGTACTGAGCATTCATTTAGCACTTGCTAAAGCTAGTACTAAATGTCTGCACAGTAACAACTGCCCAGTGGGGCGGACATGGAGATGCGCCCATTGACTGTGCACACTGCATCCTGCATGCAGGGTGGGTCAACGAGCCCAATCCAGACAAACCCTCAGTCCAGTACACAGGGCTGATCTGGCACACGTGCAGCATGTAGCGTGCATCCCAACCCAGTTCTAAGCCATGTACGGCCCATGCCAGGATGATTTTTAGAGGGCCTCCTTATTTTCAATTGAAAGGCAGTTTTCTGATGAAAGATAAGGGTTCCTAAAGTGACTACATTTTTCATGAAACTTTTTTCTCACTTCAGAATATCATCACAGTACATCCAGAAAGTGGGCAGGAGAAGTATTGTTCTAGTGCTTTTCTAGAGACCTTGTTATGCCCCCTGACTAAACCTTATTCATTTCCCACGTCTGTGAAAATGCTTCGTATGGCCAAAAACAATGATCCCATCGTGGGAGAAATGTAAAAATATCAACATTTCCCAGTCCCCAAATTGGTATTTTTTACATTTTTGGTTTTCTATTTTGTGCCCTGCACACTGGTAACATCTTTAGTGCATCTTTCACCGCTTGGGGGAAAAGTGGGATGATGTCCACATACATGTTATTATTGGAGATCTGAAGGAACAGGGCAAAGGCAGGAGGAAAGCAGGACAAAAGGGAGCAGAGAAAGGGAGAAGAAAGAAAATCCAAATCACCAATAAAGTAGGTTCACATTGGGTATCAGGAGAATGTCTTCACTGGTGTACCAAAGTGGCAGTGGACTAGATTGAATTCAAGTCTCAGAAATATATATAAGCATGGGTTGTCAACATCCCTACATGGTCTCTACATTTTCTAAGTCATGTATGTCAACGATATTTGACATTTTCTTTATTAGTTTACCTTGAACATCTTGAGTGGCCAGCAAACTAGATGACTTTTGGCACTTGGCACTCTTGGTTATTGATAAAGAGGGAAGCATGTTGGGCAGCTCCAAGCCCAGGGCAAGTAGCGATGCATAGGGCAGCTCTGCCTGCCATGCTGCTGACCTGCGGTCATGGCTATTTCCCCCCTCCGTAAAGGCAGTGCCTTGGGCTGTTGTCCTGGTTCCCTGCTCACTTACATTACTGTAGAATAGGTAAAAATTTCA